AAATTGGACATAAGCTGTATATCAAAAACATGAAATTGTGTATTTTCCTGCTCAATAATTATAGGCCATCTGAAAGTCAAATATGTCCAACTTCTTTATTTATAAGCGGTACAAAGATGTGCATTTGCGTGTAAATCAGGTGTAGCAAAAGATAAAGAAAATGAATCAGTATTTGTATAATGTAACAGAAATATATTTAGAGAAAATCACTCCAAAATGCAAAATAAAGTCATATTGTTTGCATACAGAAACTCTACACACTTTTACATAAATCAATACTGTTGACTTGAGTCTGTGAGAAATGTTTTCATTCAGTCTCAATTTAATTTAACATAAAAGGTGATTTGAGACAAAACATTTGCATATTTTGAACACTGTGGCTTTTTCTCAATTAAATATGCGTTTGTTTGGACACATAATGCAGTTCTGCTCAAAATGTGTTTTTTTTTTGGAATTCAACTAAGAAATACATTGTAAATCAAAAACCATCAACAAAAACTAACAGAGAGTAAATAAAAGAGGGAAAGCAAGATAATGTCTCAATATGGAATAAAAAATGTGGCTATAAAAATCATAAACAATCAAAAACCAAATGATTGTGTGCCACTGTGGAATTGGCTCTACAATTGTAAGGATTTCACAAAATAACTATAATCACATTTTTCGTCATTTACTTGATGCATCAAATGATCACTATTTCAAACACAACCTCTTTCTGCAGCCAATAGACTCACTCTGAAAGTCACTTCTGTTGAAAAGTTCAAGACTCAAAACAATATTCTGCTTTTACTTGAGAGAAGGCTGCAGGAAATGAAATGGTGATCAATGGTTTCAACCATCTCAGCTGCTACTAGTTTTACTGACAAAGTTTGTTGCTTTTGTGTTTGTTTGTTTTTATCTTATTTGAAAGATTTATATTTGAGAAATTTGTTAATAATAATGTTATAAAATGTCAATTTGGCCCTAGCTTTACTTCAACTGTCCTGAAACCATACTTTAGACACAACTTTGATTTAAATTAGATCATTATATACTGTTTATATTTAATAGTTACTGAGATCTCAAAGTAAAAAAAGTTTAAAAGTTATACACAACACTAAATAATACCAGTCATATAAAAAACAAAAGAGTACTACTGTTWAGTGTGCCTTGACAGAATACAAAATCAAGAAATCCAACTTGGATATACAATATGATTATTGTGAATTACGTGTCCCGCCAGGGG